ATTTTTATTGTTATGGTTAATACATAATGTAACTGAAGAGACTCTTTGACAGAATAATCGTGTTAAAAGGTTTATCCCGCAAACTTGCGAACCTGCTTTCTATTATAAAGCTGTACTCTGTTATGTCTGTTATCCGTCCCACCCCCCTCTTTTCATTTTCATGAGCTAGCAATTCGAAAGTATGACAGTTGGCAAAGTTTGAGTTCGACAATTTTCCCGTAACCATATATCCGACCGTTGAAGCGCGAGACAGTGTGTTGTGGTATAATTTGTTAAACAGATATGTCATGAAAAGTACTGAGAATTTCATAGCTTCATTTTCAAGGCTACGAGGCAGCAGCACGAGCATGCGCAGCAGAAATCGACGAGATGATTGAAGAGATTCGTTCTATGTTCACTCAAGAAGTGTCTATCGATGCGGGCTTCCATCCTCGTATGATTGGTGTCCGTGGGAAGAATCTCAAAAAGGTATTTTTGTCCTATTGGTATAATAATGTGATTTATAATCTGTTGTTGCAGCTTATGGAAGACTATGGAGTGGAAATCCGCTTCCCTCGTGATGCTGCTGATCCAAATCTCGTCATCATCGCAGGAAAAAGCGAGGATGCTGTGTACGACTGCATCGATCATCTGAGAATCGAAGAGGAGGAGTACCTTGCTGATCACATCGACAGAGTTCGTCCTTCTTCTTTGAAACTCTTCGCGGTTGAGGTTTCATGCACATGCAATGCGTTGATCGCCTGGCCTCCCCTTTATTAATGCTTATCCTTCAGCTGCTTCACAGAATCCTCAGCCCACTGAGAATTAAATGGCAGGAGATTCCGCTATTGAGTACATATAGCGCGATGACTACTGATCCATTCTGAATTTTCCCATGCGCAAAAAATGATGCCCGAATCCAGAAACCGTTGCTTCTAGCAGCGAAATATCGAAGCAAATATCGCTGCAATTATTGACTTGTCATTAGTGACTCGCGTGGCGATGCAATTAGTGACAGGGTTGCTGTTTTAGTCACGAAGTGTAAATACTCTTCGCTCGAAGTTGGATAGAATAATAACCATCAAAATATGATGTCTTGCCGACGCTAGTTTTCAGTGGAGGTGGAATTAAGAAAAAAAAGTATGATGCGGAGAGACTTTACCTTATTTTTGGCGTATAAGGCGCATTTACTTACATGCTTGCAGAGACGCTCGCGATAAATCGCGCGAAAATCTCTTAGACACTGCAGCCGCTTTTCCATATTTGCATATTTTACCTTCTAACTGTTTCCAAACACTTCTTATTCGATATAGATTCTTCATATCGGTAAAAACAAGTAAAAAGTCCGAGAAAAGCCAAAAAAAAACATTTTGGCGTGAGGAGGCGAAGAATTGCCTTACATTCTAGTACCTTTCATACCCGTAAGATAGGTGGCTCACAGTTTGAAGACAAACAGTGCATTCACCTCCGAGGACGGCGGTTGCCGTGTGGAGGTGAATGGATCCGCTGTTCCTATAGCGAGCCGCTTTCTCCGCTTAAAAGTGCAGGGTAACGGGGATAGAGAATAGCGACTTCCGGGTGTCGTCTCCATACTCTGCTCGCGCCATCCTCAGCGTGCACACATGCCACCTTCCCAAGGTTCCGTAGCGAAACATGCAGTCAGCGGTAGATTACAGCCAGAAACAACAGGGCGCAGACAAGTAGCGCCCTTGGCTATGGCTAGGTGTGCGGCTTACCGTGCACGGGCGGAATGTGGAGACGACACTCGGTTATCACTATGCTCTAGCCCCGTCCCCGTGCTTTTCTGGGCGGAGAAAGTAGTACGCTGCTGTGCCCATCACCCCACACATGGCAAGGACCAGTGCACGGAAGTGAGTGTACAGTCAGCCTCTGAGTCAACGTCCGTGCAGCCACGCGGACCAAATATTTCATTTATCCCTTAATCAGAACCTCTTCTTAACGTATCGCATTTTTAGAACCAGTACATTTCGACGCGGGTGCAAGAACCACCAAAGCAGAACAAGCCGATCCAGATGAATAACGCACCGTGGCAGTTGGATATCGGAAGCGCAGAGCACTTCCCAGACATGGGTTCTTCTGCTCCATCACATACAGGCGTAGGCGGTGCATGGGGAAGCGCACGTCGCTGGTGAGCAGCATCTTCGATGGATTTGACCGACACACGACACCTTTCCACAGTTAACTATCTGCCTGCTGAGCACATATTTTATGCGCCATTTTTAGCTCGATATTTCCCTTTCATCCGTTTTAGCTCAAAAATCCGAAAATTTATGATTCATATTTAGTATGTTTTATTGTTTTCTGTTCTGTTTTAAGTGCCTTTTATCCTAATGTAGATCGATTTATAACGGGATGTCTAAATCTAGTACTGTGACTTTCAACTATTTATTCATTGTGATCAGATATTTATTGTCTTGGTTACGTCTATTCCAAAATGGTTCTATAGTCATTTATTGAGGGATTTTGTGTGATCATAAATAGGTCAAATCTACTCTGTTTTCTTTTTTCAGTTCAAGTTGCAAGTCGGGTAATGGGATGCGGGAGAATAGTGGTACAATTCTATCAGGTCGTTTTCAACACTGAGTTGCTACTGCCATGCACTGCGTTATTGGCAGGGTACGGGTGCATTTTGGTGATGTGTGCGGTGTCAGTACGACGCTCATAGGACTTCCTAGCCTGGCGCGACCCTCCCCCCACCCTTTCTCCTACCTAATACTTCCAACGTTTCCAATTCTACCACTTTTCACAGTATTCCAGAAACCACTCTGGTTTCCCCCGAAAAGCTGCTGTCGAGCGGGGGAGGGAAATGTTGTCCTATGTCAGTCACTAATTTTCAACAATCACAAGTATAAGCTACATGGTACTTCTGCAGCAGCGGCAGCTAGGTCGGATTCTGAAAATCCTCAAAAGCTGTACGATCCGCTCCCCAGCAAACAAGTGCGACCACGCAATGAGATCCTCCATGGAATGGAGGATCTCATTGCGTGGTCGTACTCGTTTGAATGGATCACCCGGGTTGTGGGAGTGATTGCCGAAAATTACTTCTCAGTAGGAGGGTAGTGGGACTACAGTACATGCGCAGCTACCCACGTCGTCGGAGCAGGGCACATCATTGGTTGGGTATTTTAGTCGAATCGTACGACCC